GAGCAGGCTTTAAGGACTTGTTTTCATACATTTTCACACATTTTGGTAAAAGGAGTATGGAGGTTTGACACCCCACTAAAACAAAGTGAAACTGATGCACAATACATTTGTTTTCATACAAAACTCTGCCCTTTACAATCCACACGAATACACTAATAGTTTGAGCTCTGCAGGTAAAAAATGTCCCATTAAACCGGTAAAGTCTGAAGCGTTTGCAGGATAATCTATCACAACATGCCAGCAGACATTTGTGAATAGTCTCCCTCAGTTCAGTGTGTGAATCTGCGTGTGTAATGTGCGAGTATTGTCATTTACTCACTCTAACAGGCTCGGTCATCATCCTCTTGAGTCTAAACTAATGCAGAGACAAACTCCCTGCAGGGAATTGACTCACAGGCTGCTATTCTCAGCTGTGGACTCATTCATTCACACCTGCAGCCTCAGATATCCACAAGTCTGCTACGTCAGCGTAGTAGCGACTCGTAACAACGTGAATGCACTTTAAGATGCACCTTTATTGATTCCAAGTGGGGAAATACGGTTGTTAGATGTGCAGATAAGTATAGAAAGTAACCGAAATAAACAATAGGAGGTAAACAAACTAATATAAGAATAAAATAAAAAAATAAAATGTCTATGTAGACAATGTACAGCAGGTTAAAGGAGCAATACACAGGATTCAGAGCGTTGACATAGCAGCAAACACAGCGACACAGAGCGACAGCGTCAACGCGGAGGCGTAGTGCCCAACCTCCGCTTCCCCTTTAGGTAACTGTTAGCACTGTTAGCTGTGGTTTGCACTATTAGCACTGTTAGCTGTGGTTTGCACTGTTAGCGCTGTTAGCTGTGGTTTGCACTGTTAGCGCTGTTAGCTGCGAGCCGCGGACCCAGCCGCAGCCTTGTTGAGAGCCTTTGAGAGGCAATCAAATTGCCCCATATCTCGCACCTTTAATATATGATATGATTAATTAATAGACGACGTGTTTGTGTCTATTACTATAATATATAATATAAAATATATGGTGAGGATTTTAATCAGTCCAGCAGAGAGACATCATGAGTGTCTTGAGTGAATCAGACACTGCTGTTGTGCCGTCTGTTTGAAAGTACAAATTTAAATCTGTGACAACACGGTGACGTAATATGAAGTGGTAATCGTGGCACACATATTAAATATCCCCTTAAGAGCTTACAAAAATCCTTGCTGGCTCCTGGCAGATGATTAAATGATAGTTTGGGGTCATGGAAAATGATATCCCTCTGTTTTCGAGGTTTGTTTGGACAAATCCAAATGGCTCGGACACGTTTTTTAATATGATAGAGAAGGGAGAAAAAGTGTGAGATAGAAAAAGAGTGGATGGAGCTGTGTTTTTTGTGTTTCCAGCGTTCAGTGGAGTCACCGGGAGGCCGTCAGTGTCTGCGAGGCTCTTCTGTCACAGCGCATCCCGTCTCCGTCCTCCAATGCATCCATCCTCCCTCCCTCCTCTCTTGCCAGCATCCACTCTGGATTCTCAGAAACACGGATCCTGTCTGTCACCATTCTGCTAACAAACAAAAAACACCACACCCGCCTCTCTTCTGACGCCCCGACCAAGGCCTCGTCTTATGCAAAGGTCGAGACCTCTTGTTGACCCCAGCTTGGCCTTTGCAGGTTAGCTTCTCTGTCAGCTGCAGCTGTGGTCCTGCTAAAAGCCCGGATAATCCAATCACACAGTCATTAGTGCTGAGCACGCCAGAGCCGGAGCAGGTGAGCGTGTGTTTGTTTGTGTGAGTGTCTGTGTGTGTGTGTGTCTCTCTCTCATAATCTTTTACTGGATTTTTTGCTGTTGTTGCTCATTTTACACGTGCAGATTTTAGCAGATAATCACAAGCATCAAACAACCAGATGCTGCTGTCCTGTCGTAAACCTAAACCCGACGTTGCAGCTTCATTAAACCGCTGTTTAGTTTTGGATCCACGTGGGTATGTGTGTGCAAGCAGATGTGTGCATGCAGATGAGGGAGGGAGGGGTTGCCAGGTTTGAGATTTTCAGCATGAAAGGCATGCGTGGCGTCTGAGCCAATCACGGAGAAGACTAGCTGCTGGGGTTCTAGCTGCAGGGAGTTTTTTAGATGGTCCAGCAGAGTTTATGAGGACTGTCACGGTCTCCATGAAGAAAAAAACTTCTTTACAAGAATAATAGTTTCAGTAGGATGGTGCCCATGATTTTATTTTATTTTATTTTTTGTAATTTATTCATGCTGTCCTGTCTGTCTGTTACCATCTAATATGTCTTTTTATTTGTGTTTCTCAAACATCAATTGATCATGTGGGAAAATGTTGATTAGACTGTAAATAGTGTCTGAAGTGCAAAATAAACTGGTAGGTATTCTGATGAGGCATCCCATAAAACTTTATACTATCCATCTTGGACTCCTAACAGTGAAACACAGACCACGAACACACACTAGACACACACAGACGTTCATTATACAGTTCATTTATTAATCATACATTTGTTTTTAATTCAAGCGGAGACCAAAAGATACCAAGTTACATTTTTTTAGAAAGATATTCATGAAATGCTGGAGAACACATTTCAATTATTTGATGCAGCCATAATAACACGGAGTGCTGGGTTTGGCTTCTGTTGAGGGGTTACAGTTTTCAGGAAGCGTGCACGCGATCTTGTTTATCTACTTTTTCACGCTGTCAAATTATCATAAAGTTGAACTTTCACCCTGAACTTGTAGATATTTATGTTGGGGGCAGAACCGCAGCAGCTAAACAATCATAGTGACGTTTACCTCAAACATAGTTGGAGCGAAAACGACTTATATCAAACGATAATTCACCCGGGACTATGTTATGTTTAAGTAAACATGTAATTAAGATGATGTTCATGTCAGGATGGCCGAGCGGTCTAAGGCGCTTCGTTCAGGTCGCAGTCTCCCCTGGAGGCGTGGGTTCGAATCCCACTTCTGACAGAATCCTTTTGTGACGCACCTCGTTGTAAACACATAATAACGACTATCGAATAAATAAATACATCATCAGTTATGTGAGACACGCTGTTGACACATTGTTTGTCAGTACATGCTTCTCCCTCATCTCAGTCGAATTGTGAGTTTTTTATTATCTGAGACTTTTATTTTGAAGAAATACGTTTATGACTGTAACGTGATTGTTGCAGCCTAATATATATTATAAATATTATAAGATATCAGATACTTTTTTTAGTCAACAGTCAGGAATAATATTCTGGTGAGAAATGCTGTATTTTTAATTTTTTTTTAACAATGTGTCCTAAACCATATGTTCATACACTGCTTATAAATGCTAAATAGCAGGACTTACACAATAAAGTGTTACCAATAGTTTTAAATTATAGGGTTTGAACTCCCAACAGGTTGCTAAAAAAAGCCCCAGAAAAAATACTGAGGAAATTACCTCAGTGTTGGTCTCCATATACATTTAGGCTAATTTCATTTACATTTACATTTTATTAAAGAAAATTATAAAATATATTGAATAAAAAGCCTGTCATACTGTAAGAAAAAATAGCACCTTCTAGGAAAAATGACTACAGAAAATACTACATTTCTCAATAGGATTTAAAAAAAGCCAGTTTTAATGAGGAGTTTTCAGACAATGTCGCCCGCTGCAAGAAACACCAGACAACGGCTAATCTTAAGTGACAATTTCACCTTTATTAACATGGTGAAGAATCATTAGTAAAGGTCGGGGTGACAGGCTGGAGGAGGTTTGGGTGCTCAGGTGGTGCCTGTAAAGAGAGCAACACACTGAGAGAGGAAAGACTCATTAAATTACAAGGACGTCACTGGCGTGAAACCCAGCAGTGTTTCATGCTTCAGCTTAACAGGCGGCCCATGAGCATGTTGCAGGTGAATTAAAAGCAAACATCTGAATGGGGTGTTTTGATTATTTTAGATTAGACATATTTTCACCAGGAATGAATAGACAGAGACAATAGAGTTATTGTCCCGTCTTTGTGTATTCAAATTTACATTTAAAGTTTCAAACGAGGCTATTCAAGGTGTTTCAACACAATGTTTAATGAATATTTTATTTTATTTTATAGAGCTAACATCAAGCACCCTGTGCACATTGATGTTGATTCATGACTTGTTTCTTCACTGCAATGAGCATGCATGGCACTTTTATTTGGAGTCAAAACACCCACATATACAGTCCTGTTGCTTTAAATACTCAGAGAGCCAAATGTGTGTTAATCCACAGCTGAAAATAGTCCCTGACAAATGCACCAATTGCTTCTGTTGGATAAAAAAAACGACAGTGACCAGCTGCGTTAGAAAAAATTAGCCTGTTTTAAAAATATAAAATACACATGTGAGCTGTTTTTACAGATTTACATATTTAATAGGAACTGAGTGACAGACTGGTCTTTCCATGGGATGTGTAGACACTTAGAATAATATGGAATAACCTTATCCTTTAAGATACTGTACTCCATCTGACCTCCAACCCCCCCACTCCCTTTATTTAAATTATTCATAGTGGAGAAATGTGTGTCATCAGCATCATCACTGTCACCTCCCGAATTATCGCCCTGAACTTGGTTCCCATGGCAGGTCTGATTCAGAGGTCATGAAGTCTTAGCACGGATGCTAATAGAGGAATAGAAGCAGCTTCTCCTTTGCTCCGGCTGCTTGAGTGACATTGATCTTGTAGTAGAGAGACAGTGTCGTCCCATAGAGACCACATGCATGGACAGAGGCTACATTTTCCTCTTTTCACTGCATGCAAAAGGGGGGGAAAGTTCAAACAGCTCGTATTATGAATATTTATGTTGAAATAACATCTTTTTAGTAATCAAACATACATAAAAAACTTGTTTATTAGGGTATGAATCCATATTAGTAATGATTAAGTTGGCCTTTTGGCCAGTGTACGGAAAAAGTTCCTCTTTTTCAATTTCGAGGCGGTGGGGGAGGGTTTAAGTAGTGATTCCCACTTGCTTCCTAAATAGCAAGCCGACTGCCACTCAGACAGAAAGCAGGTTTTCGTTTGTGCTTGAATGTGAAGCTTAATTTCTTATTTTTATACCGAGGAGCTAAAAGCTTGATAACTGTGCAGACGGCGGGATGTGGGCACAAGGTGAGGACAGAGCAGCAGCAGGTAAGACTTGATGATGTGGATGTAAACTGGTGCTGAGGTTTTATTTTAGTCACATGATGAGCTTAACGGTTTCAATAAGAATTCACGGTATCGTATTAAGTCATGTTATTTATTGTGGACTTGTGGAGTAAGATTATAAAGGGGTTTTATTTCTTAAATGTTGGCGGTTCGGTGTATGAAAAAGTTCAAAATTACCTTTCATGAACAATAAAATGCTTCCATTTCGTGCAGCTGTTCATTCAATAAAAGCTAGTTTTTTTAAATGGTGGATGTTGTCATCAGCTGGGTTAGCTTAGCTTAGCACAAAGACTGGAAACAGGGGGAAACAGCTAGCCTGGCTCTGTCCTAGCACCTCTAAAGCTCACAAATGAACACGTTTATATCTAATTTGTTTAATCCGCACGGAAACAGTGGATAGTGTAAACTTTTGAGTTGGGGGCTACAGAAAGTGAAACGTGTTTTTATGATCCTTCTGTGATTTCACTTCCTGTATTGCTCCTCCTCAGGCGGCCTCTGTAGTTCCTCTTGCAGTCAGACAGGATGTGAGGATCTTTGATTTTTACGCCTCCCAGCTGAGCGTCTTTCCTTCTCTGATGCCACCGGCCCTTTTGATAAAGATCTTCTTGTCCCCACAGAGTCTGACGGAGAGACGGGTTTCTCTTCCGAAGATGAGGGAGACATTCAGGTATCACTGTTAGTGACGGGCAGCAAATGATGACTTTAATTAAAGCTGCTGTCTAATGTACAAAAAAGTGGATAAAATCAAACATCAATTTGTTGTCATCTCTTTCTCCTGTTTTGCTTGTCTGTTTGTTTGTTGACGTTTTATTGTAAGTGTGAGATCCTGGAAATTCAGAGGGATGAAGCCAACCAGAGACTGTCCGAACTAGAGGAAGGTGAGAATCATGTGTTTCTTTATTTTACCTTCCTGTCCACATTCAGCATACTATCCCAGAATGCATCACACTCTAATTCACATCTGTAGGCAGTATGACATAAAAAAGGCGTCTGGTTGATTCTGTGCAATTTAAGTCAGACGTCTCCTTGCTCTGTAACAACTCGTCTCCTTTTATTTCTAGTCTCCAATCAGCTCTTGAAAGAGATAAATGTACTGGAGATGCAGTTCCAGATTGAGCGCTCCTGCAGGGAGAGTGCTGAGGCGCTGGCTGTCAAAGTATGTCTTTTTACTCTTGGTCCTTTTCTCTCCTATGTCCTTTCCTTTCCTTAATGTTTCCTTTTCATTCCTTTACTTTCCTGTCCTTTCCTTTGCTTTTCTTTTCTACATTCCTCTCCTTTTTGTTTTCTTTTGTGTTGTTTCCTTTCCTTCCCTTCCCTATGTTGCCTTTTCATTGCTTTACTTCCTTTCTTTTCCTCATCATGACAACGGGAAGAGGCTGAAGTGAGAAGCAGCGTCACGTACTGTAAAATGATGTAATCTAACCTGAGTCATTTTCATACCAGTACTTTAAAAATACACATAACACAAACCTCCAGACTCACCATTATCTCCTCTGTTGATAGGTGAGCAAAGAGAACAAAGTGCTGAAGCGGACGAGCCAGATGGTGATGCCGCTCATCCCCGAGCTGCCTGAAAACTTGGCTGCCGTGACCTTTGAGCTAGAGGCGGACTCTGCGGTTAACTGTGATGAGGTGGACGACTGCGGCGAAGAGACGCTGCTGATGGAGAATCAAGCTCTGATCGCAGGTTAGACAGAATTCAAAACTAGAAGTCAAACTGGGATAACTGGCTTATTGTTGTGTGTCCAAATATTCTGTGTTTCTGTGTGTGTGTGTGTGTGTGTGTGTGTGTGTGTGTGTGTGTGTGTGTCAGAGCTGCAGGCGTCAGTGGACGGTCTGCTGGCTGAGAAGCTGCAGCTGGAGCAACAAGTGGAGGATCTGACCAGAGAGCAGGTCCAACTTAGAGAGCAGGTACATCAGTGTGTGTGCGCGTGTGTGTGTGTGTGTGTGTGTGTGTGTACCTGGAGTCTTATCACAGACTTTTTCTCTCAGCTTGCTCTGGAGGTCGAGGAGAAAGAGGCCCTCCTGTGGAAAATGAGCAAACAGAACAAGTCCATGAATAAAATCAAACGCGGTGAGTCCTCATTCAATTTGGACTGCAGCTAATACATATTTTCATCATTAATCTAACAATATTCTTTTTCCAAATAGCAACAAGTAAATACTTATTTATTCTAAAATGTCAGAAATAGTGAAAAATGTTCCTTTATCCCCACTTATTGATTTGTCCCGCCTACAGTCCAAAAGGATCCTTTTAACGTTAGATTTGGTTCTATCTGCTGCAGGTTTTGAGATATCTGTCTCTGAGATTTCTGCTGCCACCCCAAAACAACATTTGTGTCTGGAATGTTATTTTGCAGAAAAAAGCAGGCTCATAATTAAAAGACTTGAATGAGCAAATAAATGGCATTTTTTTGCTTCATGAGTCACATAACGTGATTAATTGGGTGTCATATTTGATTCATTTTTCTTCAGATTGACTAATTTATTAAGAAATTAAGCATTTCAGTCCATTTCATTTTCATGTTTTAATCAAAAACATCATGAATGCCATTGAATATACCTGTGTGTGTGTGTGTGTGTGTGTGTGTGTGTGTGTGTGTGTGCGTGCACAGTCTCCCAGCTTGTCACAGAGGAGTTCACAGAAATGTCTCAGAAGCTGGAGCTGGAGCTGGGCCTCCGGCAGCACGCTGAAGTCTTCGCCCACCAGGTGTGAGCGTGTGGCATTCCCGTGTGTGTGTGTGTGTGTGTGTGTGTGTGTGTGTGTGTGTGTGTTTTCTGCAATGCACAAAACATTTTGTCATACATTCACACCTATAGACACTGAGGGTGACAGGTCGTGCCACAGGAAGGGAACATGAGTGTTAGAGCGTTGACCTTCAGGCGGCTACGGTGAACAGACGGACATTCGGACAGGGGGGAAGGGAGACACACACACACACACACACACACACACACACACACACACCTCCACTGTCAGATGATGTGGCGGGACAGGAGAAGGGGGTCTCCATTCTCTGTTTTCACACCGATGACACTTTGGTCACATCCAGGCTCTCTGTGTGGGGCAAAGCGTTCACACACACAAGACAAAAGCGGACACACACTCGTATACAAGCTGTAAAAACACAGATTCACTTAAAATCCAAATACCCAAACACACACACAAACACCCCCACACACAGCACCGTTTTTTGCTGCCCCAGCTGCGCCTATAATGAAGGCCTTTTCTTTCAAAAACCGTCTCTCTGTTCCCTTCCCTTCCCATTTAGCCCCTCCCTTCCCCGTAATTAGTGGTCATCACTGCCGCTGAAGGAGAATAGTGGTCTTTAAGCACAACCTGTCTTTGCCTGACACCTTTATATTTTGCCGAGCATATAGCAATTGTCGCCTTTGTGCGCAGCGTCCTCCATTTACCGGACAGCCTCACAATGGGCCGCCTCGCAGGGGTCCTTACCTGTGAAAAGGACCCCCAACTGTTCACACAATCCCCCCCCCCCCCCCCCTTTTTCTCAATTCATGTTAAAAGACCCCCCTGTGCTGAATGCCTCCTGTATGCGCTACTATTTGTCTGTTTTCATGTGTTTTGAAAACACCAACCATTCACACCTCTCCTCTGTGATGCATGGTGGTATAATGATGCAGGGCCTCAAAACAGGAAACAATTTGGAGGGGGGTTGTTTTGTGTCTGCGTCTTTGTCTGCTTGTGTAGCCGTGTCTGGTTGTAGCTGTGTGTTTGTGTGTATGAAATAATTGTGCTAATTGCTGTGTGAAAATTGCTCTCTGCTGAAGGGGAGATCCGAGATTAGAGCGGTGTGCTTTGCAGCGCGGGGCCTCGTGCTGCCATGTGCTGAAACAGAGCTCACTAAACCTCGCTGCTTCAGTCTGTCCTTAAAAAAACAAAAACACAGAAATGAAAACTGATATTTTTTTTTCCCCCCTCACACTTCCTGTTCTCTGATCCTGCTCTCATAAAGTGTCCATTCAACAGTGAATCCAATATGAATTCATTGAGATCCTTTCCCTCCTTTTGTATTGTTTCTTACAACTACACACTCAGATTACACAGGAGAGGCTTTTAGGGCTCATTCTGATATTTTTCCCAGGAGCCAATATATTCACAATGTGCCAGTTTCTGGTAACAAAATAATAATTAAAAAATGAAACCTCTTTTATTGGTCCAATTTTCATGCGCATCTCTTATTGTCGGCCTTCTATCGCTGGTATTTAATACGCTCCTGAGCTGCTTTAATGTCCTCTTTGAATACGTTTTGAATTGTGTGTTTGTGTTGCGTTGTGGCAGTGTGTCTTTCATATGTGCTCTGCTGTGACTTGATGTGCAGGCCTTTGTGGATTAATAATGTTATCTAATCCAACCTAACTGATCAACATGTTTATCTGTATATACATTAGCAACATCACGTGAGCTCATCCAGAAGAGCAAAATGTTGCTTTGCATCACTCTGATCATTTATTAGCTCTAAATGAACTGTAGCTGGTGTATTTATTTGTCACACCGTACAGGAAAGAATCAGATTTCCTCAGTGCATCAAGGCAAAGCTTGACATTTTTGAGTTTTGCATTGTGCGCTTTGTTTCTATTCTTCCATGCAGCTGATGAGGAAGTCATTGCTCGGTGACACACCGGTTTGAAAACACTCTCTGCATTGTGACAACCTCCTGGGGGAGAAAATTAACAACCAGCTATTCAGATCTCACTTTGTCCCCCCCCCCCCCTCTGATTGTGGCTCATTGCCATCCACGGATTTTTCCATTTTCCATGTGCTCATGATGTCAGAAGGTGAATTAGTTGTTTGTCTCGTCAGATGTTTGCAGCCCGCGGCGAGAGCGAGACGCTGCCGCAGAGCTCGGAGACCGGCCTGCAGCTGCGGCTGCAGCAGGCGCTGGAGCAGATCTCCAACATCAGCCTGGCCCTGTGTGATATACAGCGCTGCTACCAGGACCAGGTGTGTGTGGACGGTATAGATAAAAGCCAGAGCGAAAGGGTCTATTTATGTTCTTCATCATGCACCCTGTTTCTTTCATCCCATGTCTTTCAGGTAAGACGGAGTCAGAGCGCCGTGGACCAGAGCGCCGTCCTCTCTGAGCTGCAGAACCTGAGGGAACAGCTGGAGGGGAGCGAGGAGGAGAAGAAGGCCTTGGAGACGCAGCTGTGTGGAGCTAACGGCTGCGTCGTGCAGCTCCAGGAGGAAGGTAGCGAGGGGGGGGGGGGGG